GAGTCACGCTTCATGTTGTATTTAATTGGAGATTTTAAATTAATTAAGATGAGTTTGTCGTAAGATAGAATTAACCAATGGAAGCTAACACTGGTGCTCAGGATTATATTTAGAAGTTTAACTTTTTAGCCATAATGATATCAATATTGTATATATGAATATAATCTGCTTATGAAAAAAAAAATTCCGGTCACGACTAAATGAATTTATCCAATAATCACAAATTCACAATAACGCGTTGTAGGTGACAACTGACAACTCTTTATTATCTAATTAAGGGTCTATTTTGATTTCTTCAAATGCGTGATACATGTTGACAACTAGTAATTGATGTCGTTGATTTTTTTTCTTTCTTCTCCATAATTTCAGAGGGAATTTCTACTCAAATATAATTATCTCAATTATGATGACAGCTCATGCCGGAGTAGGAAGTAACTGATCAGTGATCATAATTTTTTTTTTTGAAAATATTACATCGGTTCATCGCTTCGCGATTAGTCCGATTCGGAGCGCGTCCAGGATTAAGGCTTTAAACCCCTCCTAAAGGTGGTACTGGGGAGATTCGAACACATGCCCTCACCCCCACCTGCTCAGCTCCCACACACCAACTGAGCTACCACCATTTGGTTCAATGATCATAATCTTGGATAAAAGGAGCCATGCGTCCAAACAAAAAAAATTTCAATAATTTATTTAGGGGGGTTTGCTAGTACGGAATATATCCCTTGGCGCGCCGTACTTAATTGTATTTGGCGTGCAATTAAAACTCAAATGCATAATTAAGCAAGTGATTGAAAGCTTGAGACTTGTTTGAGATGTGCTAAACCGAATTATTGAGAAGCAATAACTACTAATCATGGTGAGAAGGATTGAAATCTGAAACTGAACTTGCAAGACAGGATTTCATTATTGATCATAATCGGATGGTGAGATTTTGTGTGTGTATATGTACATTCCACTTGTACTGCATATCCAATAGCAAAAAAATATGTGTGTGTAGGTTAATATAAACAACTATATACTATTTCAACTCTAAATTCATACAATACTCTTTTACATTAAGTAAATGATATACTTACATTTAATAATTCTTGAAATTATCTTTAATTCATAGTTAGTCCTGGTATTTACTTATGTACTTGATTTATTTTTAAAGGACTTAGATGATGTAAATTTTATAAATTTAAAATCTAATACATATAAAAAAATTTAGAAAATAAATTAAAAGTAGAAATAAATTTAAAAATTAAGTTACATATCCATTTACTAATATTGAAAAAAATAATTCTCACCTGCCTTAGTTTAAATTTGATAAGAAAAAGATAAATACAGATAACAGTTCATTGGTTTAGAAAATAAAATAAAAAATTAAAGCAAAGGTGTTTAAAAAAATAAAAATGTAAAAATGTATTTTATAGTTGCATAACTCATATCGTAACAAGGAGCCAAACTATGTTATAATCTAAAAATTCAAATAATTTAAAAAAAAAATTACTTCAAGCACTTTAACAATACATGTTCTTGTTAACATCATAATTCAATATTTTGTAAAATTAAAATAACACATACTTTATATATATACCAAAAAAAGAAAAATAATAACACATACTTTTAGCCAACTAATACCAAAAATGAAATAATTTCTCCTGCAGAATGAAATCATTTTCTAGTTAGCCTTATACGAAACCCACAAATTAAATCAAAAGAATCTAAAATAACATGTTTAAATCATAAAACCACAGAACAATGCCAATTGGCAGGGCCTATGTTCGGTGTTTCAACATTCAACGAAATTCTCTTTTCTCTCTTCCACCCAGAAGCACTTCTCATTCCACCCTCCCACCATCATTATTTTCTCCCACTTTCATTCTCAAGGACCTCTGTTCAGCTACCTGAGGAAAGGTTTGGAGGATTTGCTTAAAATCAAATAATCAAATGATACAATTCTATACCTATGTAAATTTGTAAATCATTCTAGGAATGAATGTTGCTTGATTTGGTTTATAATATTAACTCGAGCATAATAGCGTTTTATGGTAAAAAATGACCGCAAGCGGATAAAAACATAAAAAGGGAGGGCACTTCTCTAATGCAAAAAGATGTGTAACCGTGGCTATAAAATCAATGGAACGCTTATACGAATTAGTCATATAGAGAGTGAAAACACTTTTCTTATCGGCCTATATTGTTATATGACCATTGTATATAACATGGCTAAAGCCTATATAAACAAAATCCACAAATTCAGCCAATGATTATTTAAACAATACTTAATAATAATGGTAATGGTCAAAACAATGAGCTCATTTTCGGTGCTTCTGGAGCACATGTTGCTTTGCCGAAATAGGAAAAATAAGAGATAGGAATGAAAATAACTATAACGATGAGGATAATATAAAGTGCTATTTTTTGTCATATTTAATTAATGGTGTGCTGAGTATTCAGTTGTACTAGAATACGGAAAATATTTTTCAAAAAAAGTATGTATAGTGGAATGAATAAGGATCACTCGTGATTGTTGGATAATATTAGAGTGTCTTCTAGAAGATATTTCCTAATTTAATTTCGTGAGTCATAAATAATTATACATGAGAAAATGCACCATTGGGGTTAGCCTAGTGGTGTGGGGTGTGTGTGTGTTAGGAGTGTGTGTAGTGTAGGGTGTTGTATTCAATTCCTTGTAACCTCCACACACAAAAAAAGAATAGGGTTGGGTGTGGTTGTTAACGAACCGAGCCGAGCCGAGTCGAGCTTTGGTCTTAACGGGCTAAGCATGTGTTCAAATGTGTCAGACTGGCCTTAGCCTGTTACCTGTTACGAATATAATATCAGCCTGTGGCCTTGCTCATTTACAAAAATCAAAGCCTGGTTTAGCCAGTTAGCATGTTTTAAAAAAATAAGACAACACAAATTTATCCAAACAAAATATACAATCAACAGCACTAGTAATTCCATAAATATTCATAAATTTAATGTATATTCAAATAGTATAATATAAAATAAAATCATTCAAAAAGTATGTTTAATTAATAAAATGGGATGAAATGAATTGAGAAGAGAGAGGGCTATCCCAAGTAATATAAAAAATAAAAAATAAAATAAAAAAATAATATATTAGGCAAGCCTGAGAGGCTCTAAGGCCGAGCTTTTGAATTGGAGTCTGAGGCCTTTTTATTAAACGAGCTTTTATACAAGTCCAAGCATGAGTCCAACAATTAATTTTAGACATGTAAGTTCAGGCCTTCACGAGCCGAGCCAAAGGCCCCTGGCTCGTTTAGCACCCCTAGATGTGGTGTCCAATATAATGATCTAGAACACTTTTCCTAATGCACAAATATTTTTGCCATATATTATATATATTTGAGTCGTCATTATTCTGTATATTATGTGTAATAAGAATAATATATGCCTATTACACCAACTTAAGCGTGATTACATAATGAGTTAAGTCAATTTTTTTTTTTAAACGAGTTAAGTCAATTTTAGCCAAAAGTAAAACCTGAATTAGAATTTTACTTGAGTTAGGTTGGATTGGGCTTAAATTTTTTTAGTTAGTCCAGCCCATTAATGGTTTACCACGTTTATTACTATCATTTTTTTAAATCTAAAAAATGATGTAATTTTTATTAAATAAAATAATAGTTATTTTATATTAATTTTTTTTTTTTGTAAATATAAAATTATAAAGTATTTGAGTTAGATTTGGTTTTGTAAATTTGGAAATATTTCTATTGATTAGTTGAAAATTTTATGAATATTTGATTTAATTTTTTTGGCTGTCTTGTACTCCACATTGATTACTAACCAACTAACTAAAACAATAGTAGTACTCTTTTGCTTCTACAATAGAAATATATAAATAATCAAAACTATTGAACAATCAATTTTAATATATACAGCATCACAATACAAGACCTCCGGCAAATTACTTACCCAATTATTGATCGTACCAAGTGACTTATGGAATAATGTTATTGCGGGAAAGGCCCAATTAGTTGGAGTGAGCTTGTTCAACACAGTACTCTTTTTTAGGCTAGTAATACAGTCCAATTTCAAGACCAAGGAAAAAAAAAAAGTCTAATCCGCAACTCCAAGTCTCCAAGCAGCTCATATAGGTTGCACCAGTGCTATTTCTACCAATGTCTCAACAAATTGATGTGGCAGCAAACAAACGAGAAAAAAATGTGACAGAAGAAATAAATGCAAGGAAGTTATTTCCCAAAAAAGGATTTGTAAAATATTTTTGAATTGGCTTTCGTAACAATAAGCATTTTTTTATAGCGTCTTATGCATCACGTTGTCACCTAGTTACAAATGAGAAATTCATACATAACCCCTTAAGTATTGTTGGGACCGAACACTTACACAATGACACATACAATCACAAAATAAAAAAAAGAAAAGGGAAGAAAGAGTGGAGACACGGATTATTCATCCAATGTGAGTTATGTTTCACTATATTTTCATTACCGCACTCGTTACAAAGCACTCTAGTTACAAGAAAAATATAAATAATTTTAGAACCCCTACTAAAATATGAGTAGATTGCAACATGTATCAAATAGATCATGAAGATTCAGATATTTGAGTAGATTGCATACTAATAGCATCAGACTAATCTTAGTGCTCATCGAATAATCATTTGAAATTCTATTGGTTGAATTTGGATAAAGAATTTAAAGAGAAGAATGGTACTTCTGGAAGTATTGAAATTTTTTTATCATAAAAGGCTCTATTATATTGTACAAATAAAGTTTAAAATTTCTGAGTCATTTCGATCAAGTATTCTGAACTCTCATGATATATTTCGATCAATGCAGGTTTTTCGGGTTGCATGCTTGACACGAAGGTTATGAGTATCTCTTTCTCTTCGTGTTTTAAGAACCCACTCACCTCATTCATACCCAGACATGACAAATCAACTTCATTTATTCCTTTTTTTTATTTGAAAATAACTTCATTTATTGCTTTATGCTCAAGTCTTGTGACCGTTGGAAATTGACGCACCAAGGGAAACAGCTATACAGGTTAATCATGCTGGGTTTCGATTTGAATGGGTATGTGTCAGCATTGTTCCATTTGTGTTCTAAGCTTTGGGAGATTCGGGTATTGCACATGTTCTGTTTGCGAAAATGGTAAATAGAAATGTGATTTCTGGGACATCTATGATTCATGGGTATGTTGGGGATGATTGTTCCATTGAGGAGTGTTGTTCGAGCAAATGTTGGAACTAAGAATAAAGGTGAATGTTGCTATCGTTGCAATGGTGAATGTTTGTTTTAGAAGCGTTTACACAGGAGCATTGAGTATGGGGAGGACAATGGACAGGATTGTAGAAGGTGGATAACTAATCATCCAAGCAAGGAATGTTGGGGAATGAATTCCTTTGCTTTTCAAATTCTCCTCAATTCTAAAATGCTCCATCCAAAGACAACGAGTAAGTGTTCTTATTAAAAATAAAATATAAAAATAACAGCATTTCTCTTTTGACAAAACCCAAGCTGTGTAAAAAAAAAAAATGCTCCTTCTTTAGTCCTTCCAATTATAAGACGAAGGATATCCTGCAAGTGTATGTATACAAGTCTGTCTGTACAGTAAAATTTAATGGTTTCTTGAATGCATTCCTCGGCAGCAGTAAAAAATAAAAAAGAAGAGAGAACAAGTATAGACAGACAACTTGTACGAGGTTAAAATGCTGCTATGGGTAGAGAGTGCAGAGGTTGTAGCCGGAGACTAGTGAGCTAATAGCAAAAGCAATAAAAGCAAGGAAGGCCAAAGCAACTGAAGCACTGGCCATCTCCGTGAACTCATCTTTTCCCCAATTTGATTGCCAATCGTCAACCCTGGTGGCTGCTGATGAAGATGATGATATCAGAAGATATGCCAGAACCTGCCCATCAATTATTATCACAAAAATGTTAATAGTTTTCAACAAATAAAGACGCGAAAAAAGTTCACATTAAAATTCACTACCATGAACCATATTAGTGAAATTTCAATCAAGGAAATGAATACAGATGTGGAGCCTAATATCGAAAAATCTTTGTTGAGACACAATGAAAAGTAAAAGCTTTTCAAGCCAAGAGCATAGCATAAATTGAATTGAGTCCTCGGAATTGACTTGCCTGATCCATGAAGAAATCAAAGTGAAAGCGCAGATGATGATTGAATAAGTGTCTCCTCTTGACTAGTTGATAGGCCAAATCACACGCTTGAAACCCAGCGTATACAAATGCTATAACATTCACCGACAAACAATACCTGCCATAGCAGCGAACTTTACCATCATTATTACAATCTGTACTAGGACAGACAAAGTTAGGAAAAACCTAGAACCCAACAATAACAAGTGAACATTAATAAAAATTCTGAATCCCAATAATAAAGTTGCCTCCAGCAATTCAAACATAAATTAACAAGTACACTGAACAACTTTAATAGTTTCAAATTGTGATTCTATTCAACAAATCCAAACTTGAAAAGTAAAATATGGTAAACTAAAATTAAAACAATTTAACTTTTTAAAAAAGAAAAAGAAAAGAAAACCTGTATTCCTTGTAGCGATCAAAGGAGTCACCACTCCAACCTTGAGTCTTATCTGCAGCCATCACCGAAAACGAAATCAGACACAGTACCACCTCGCTCAACCGGAACCCTAACGCCGCCTTCCTCGCCATTTCCTTGCTGCTCGACACTATTCTTCCCCGGCCACCGCCGTCTACACGGCGGACTCCTCCGCCGATAGGAGGGCTCATGTTTGTCGCAGGCGGCGGAGGCTCCCCCCTCATGGCGTGGTTAATAAGCACCACCGGCGGGTCATTCGCCGGCGGGTTCCAGTGCTCGGAATCAGGTATGGACGGTGGAGCATGAGAGTATTGCGTGGAAGAAGCCTCGACGACTACGATGGCCCTTGAGTTATCTCTGCTGTGAATGTCCGGTGAGTTTTGCGTCGAGTGAAACGGGTCGCCGCTGTCTGATAGAGGAGAAGATCCTAATCGGAGAGGGGAGTGAGGCAACTCAAACTGAGTCGAGGACTCGGAGGTCCTCGATGATGAGTTCTTCATGATTTTGTTATGCCTTTGCTTTGTGGACTTGGTGGAATTTAAAGGGAAGAAAAAAAGTGGAATAAAGAAAACAGTGTGTTTGTGTTGTGTTGTGTTGGGTTGGGTTGGGTTGGGGGAAAGTGAAAAGAAAGCGAAAAAGAAACTGTGGCCTGTGGGGACTAGGGATTTTTTAGCTTCATGTTTTTCAGTGTAAGACCATGCCACGTGGGTTCGATTCTTCAATTATTAACCTTCTCACTTCTCAAATCGTTGTGAAAACCCTGTGGGTTTTTTTTTTTTTTTTTCACTATACATATAACCAATAAGATCTCGCCACGTCGAACAACTGTGGGAGAGCCCAATGGAGGGTCCTGTATTGTGTGATTCTTGGAGTGCAGAGAGAAAAAAGTGTGGGTTCTGCATGCGATAGAAATCTCACCCCACTACTCAAACTCAAGTGATACTTTGCACTTCTTCTGATTGCTTAGCAGTTTTAGTTTCCTCGACTAAAAAAGAACATCGTTATTTCTTTATGTTCCAAACACACAGTTGTTTGTCGTACGTAAACCTTACTTATTTGTAAAATCTCGAAACAAGAAAAGGCTCGCTCACATGTTAAGTTTGAAAAATTCACCGACTTTTGTGAAAATTTATTTTGGGATTATATATCACCAAGCAACGAATTATTCTAAAATTAAAATTGAATTTTAATTTTGTAAGAGTAGAAAGTCAATTAAGTAAGCATTTATTTTATATATATATATATATATATATATTTCAAACAAATGCTGTAACCCATGCTGGCTAATTTTATTTTGGAAAAATCTCACTCGTGCAATTTTCTTTACAAATGAGAGGTAGCCAGCTGTTTTTCTAAAACCATCTCTATTTTTTGACTGGAGCAAGATCCAATTCCAGCTTTCTGCGCTTCAAATGGACTATAATCTCATAACTACTCATCCAATTCTATTTTTTGAATTACTATTATTAATCCCAAACGGGCCTTGTAATTATCCAAGTTATTTATTAATACAATATGGATGGAAAAATTGGAACATAATATAAAAGCAACTATACAAATTGTACATATCTATATTTATTTATTTATTTTGAATTGCCACAACAATTTATTGATTATCCAGCTAGCTGGTTCAAACAGGATAGAATTATAAAGATGACAAAACTCTCTCAACCAAAATTTTAATACAGTTGTGTAACCAAGACTTAAACTCAGTCTCTGACTATAATGATTTTGATATTAATATTAGTTCATTTAAATATGGTGACAATGCCTAAATAATGAACTCATTTTCTGTGATTCTGAAGTACGTACTTCTTATCAAAAAATGAAAAAATATAGAATATAGATGAAAATAAATATAAAGACAAACAGAGTGTAAAAATATTACTTTTTACTATATTTAGTAAAAAAAAAGTATCAAATACTCTGATCCTGAAACACCGAAAATATTTTCCTACATAATACCTCTCTTCAATAATTCCTCAATTTTAAGTTCTTGAACACGTAATACATGATCCATTCCACATTACGAAACCGTACCTGACAACTTTATATTTCCTCCAAGGAAAATAAAGAATGACTTAATGAAGTTTAACAATTCTTAATAATAATAATGGGGAAATGAGAATGACCGCTTTATATTTGCATGACACGAGGCTTACCTTCCTCATTACAATAATTGCTGAATCCATGATTCTTTTATGGGAAAAGTGTGTATAATTTTAAAGGATGTAAAGTTGTGTCATTTTAAGAGAGAGAAAGAGATAGATAAAGTAGGAGAGAGAGTTGACAAAAAAAATAAAGGTGTGGGTCCCGCCTCTTTGTGAGAGTGAAAGGATGTAAGTTGTGTAATTTTAAATGATAGACATTTTTCCCTTCTTTTATAGCTAAGATAAGACAGAACAATTAAAGAGAAGAATAATGGCAGGAAATCCAACTGGTCCAGTTCAAATCCCTACAAGCTTTTATAATGGAGAAAATTCATCAGATGTCTTTAATGAGTGGGCCTATCTTTAGTGTCATAAAGGCACAAATTCCTTCAGACTTCAACCAAACGTATATTGGAAAGGTTCCTCTTTTGCGTTTTAATGACATTCATTTAAACAAAGCAACTATGCGAAGCAACCCCCTAAAGGATGAAGCTATTGTCTTGCTTTTCACAAGACACCTTCTCTCTCTCTCCGGACCATCCAAAAGCACGGATAGGTTTATACTGGAACCTACATACAATGGCCGTGAAAAGCATCTTTTTCCCAAACTTATCTTGAGGCACTTTGTGAGCTGACGATACCACAATCATATATTCTTTCCTCTTGAAGAGAGCATAAGAAGCATATAACTTCTACTATTATCTCCTGTCTTTGTGAAGGAAAGAATGTAACACAATTTTGTCAGTTAGCAAAGTCCGTATACACAAGGTGATAGGAAAGAGAATTAGAAAATAACAAAAGAATTTTGAACTCATGAAAAGATTGAGAAGCTAGGAGGAAAAAATAAATAAATTATAAGCGCCTGCATGTGTGGTGAAACTATCTTACAAAATGTAATAAATAGCATTTTCTTTGCCACTGTAAGAATCCTTGATGCCTCGCCTCGTGTCATAGAAGAAAGAAATTAGACTGGATTCGGGAACTATGGCTCACTCTGGTAGTTTCAACCGGTTGAATAGCACAATAAAACTTTTCTCAGGCACAACATAAAGGAAACCCATATCTGCACCTTTCACATATGGACCAAAGCCCTAAATATGGCAACAGCAGAATGGAAAAATGTTATAGAAATTGGACAAAAAAAACAGATCCACTAGTAGAGACCAATAATCATGCCCGTACATTGAAAAGAAATGCTACCTTGCCATTAAGTAGGAGTAATTCTCCATCAACCCATTTTGGATTTCGAAAACCAAGCTCCGCTATTCTCCCTTGGCCTTTATAACTTGCATCCTATTCATGGAGGAGTGCAGTTTTTAATCAATTTGCATGTTTCCAGAACAGTCCAAAATGACACAACTCAAAAAAGACAACACAAAATGGCCAAAAATAAAAAACATCACGAAGGGGAAAAAAGTGAAGCAAGCCAAGAAAAAGAAAATAAGGGGAAATTGGCAAAGCCTCTCAAAACCATCAAATGCACATAGTTGAGAGGGACAGCAAGAGTGAGGTTATATCATTAAAATTTAAAATAGCCTTGATGGCTTAGAGTGAGATTTGAAAATAAGCATAGCATACACACTTCTTGTCCCTTTCTTTTTTACTTTTATTTATTTATATATACATATATTTTTATTTCATTTTATTATTTTATTTGTGTATTTTTATTTATTTATTTATTTATTTATTTATTTTTTTATTTTTTATTTTTTATTTTTTTTTACTTTTTTTCAACCGTTTTGTATCTTTCATGTGGGTTCATCTACCACCGACCCCAATTAATTTGGGATAAAGGTGTTGTTGATGTTGATGTTGATACACACATGGACATGAATATGCATATACAAACACGCGTACATACACATACCAATAAACATCCAATTGTAAAGTGAAATTACCACTCCTAATTCATTGGGAAACTTCCCACGATTGGAATTGCGATTGCCTCTCCCAATTTTAGCACGGAATGCCACCTGAATACGAAAAAATAAAATTAAGCTTTCATATCATGCATGAACACGGTAAAAATATGTGATAATACAACAAGGACCAAGAGATTCAAAATGCATAAACCTGGCCAGCAGGGACATTAAGATCCCCAGTCAACTTCACTGCTTCTACATATTCAAAGAACTCCATATCTGAAGGATTGTTTTCATCGTCCACACCATTCCAGTGTCCAAATTTTCGCTTCAATTGAACTACTTCAGTGCCAAAAGGGCCAAATGCACCAATATAGAGTCCTGTATTTCAACCAGAAGATTTCATTCTTCAAGCTGTTCTTTGCTCAAATCCTAACGAACATAATTGATACAAGGATAAGCAACCTCACCATCAAAAGGATCTAAATCCCCTCTTGAACTGGTAATCCGACTGAAAGATGTATACTCAAATAATCTACTTCTTTTCTGCGCTTGACTGATAGCAAGTTTGACAATTTCACGCACACTTTTTGAAACCTTAGTCAAGTTAAGCATTGGTCAGTTCACTGTCAGGAAAAGCATAGTATTGCAGATACGAACTTTGCTAGGGACCAGGGGAATAAATCATTATCTCATATTTTGAGAGTAATTTTAGATGAATATGTATGGGACCAGACTCCAAGATTACACTACCAGCCCCAACATTTTGGAGAAATGAAAGTCATTTTGTACACATGCAACTTGCAATGATAACCAAGATATTAAAATTAGACAATTCTGAAATATAAGTACGTATATAACTATACAGGGGGAAAAAAATCATGAAGTAAAACTTAATATGCATTCTATTGAAAAATTCTATCTTTCTAAAGTAAATAAAGTAAAAATCAATAAAAACAATGAGTATATTGACTTCTCAATTCTCATGGGGTATAAAGATCAAAGTTTAATATTTCAGAAGGTAATTTCTGAAACTAGAGAGGGTTTTTGCATAAGTTTCATAAACCTGAACAGAGGTCAGAGACCCAGTGTAATTCACTCAAAAAACTTCAGTCAAATGAATTGATCACTAATAAAATCATCATAACATGTATTTGCTAATTCTTACTAAGTTCTAAAAGCATATAACTTAACAAACAGAATAAATATAAATCTATTTTTTAACGATGATTAAATGTCTTATCTTAATCTCACCTTGGAAGAGACTTCGTCAGAAACCCAAAATGCCTTGGCAACATCAGAAGGCACAAGATCCGAGACTCCTTGTGCTAGAGCTGTCACTTTGATATTGTTGGGCACTTTATGTTCTCTAGTATCATAATCTAAATTTCTCCTAGGAATATGCAAGACAAAAGAATCTTTTTCCATATCTTGTATTTCAGCAGGAAGGCGCATAAATTCATAATTGACAGGAGTGTCGTCATCATTGTGTACAACTCCACCAACAAAAAGCTTCATATCCAAATCCGTTTCTTCTGCTGAGGCATGACTATCAGCTTCTAGAGTGACCTCATCATGTTCGTCCAGACTATTAACTTCCTCTTTAGGATTCTCACCAGAGCTTGTTTTATTACTTTCTTCCTGCATCAATTGCTTAATAGAATCATTATCCTCAGCTCCTTCCTCTTCAACATTAATGTTCATGACTTTCACTTTCAATCCAGGAATTTTATCTTTAAGAAAATTTATTACACTTTTAATGCCTTCTTCAGTTGCTCCCTCAATATTAATATTTTTCTCATCATTTTTCTCAACCTTGTCTACATGTTCTTCAACCTTGTCTTCATGTTCTTGCATCTCAACTGAAGATTCATTCTCTACCTCAGATTTGAATGGGCTTTTAGCAGGTATAGTTGGAGGGTTATTCATTGAGTTTCCTTTGGCTCGTTGCAAGTACACTACCTGTTAATTGTTAACAGATATAATGTCATAAGCATTACACAAGTACTCGTAAAGAAAAGATACAGAAACAGGAAGATAACGAATACAATAGACTCCGAGTAAAGACATGCAAACAGAAAAACATACGCTTGAAACAAAGCCCACATTTGACCTCAAAAATGATGTTCCATAATTCATTCTATGTTCAGTTTACTTACTGAATATTTACATAAGAACACTCAATTAAATTTTGTTTTGAAAAGTAAGTTGGTCATGAATTACAAGATTTTTCTTTCAGATTTGAGAAAAAACCAAAATCTGCCCATGGACCATTTGTATTTGAAATAAGAAGACTTCTTTTTCCCCTTGTGTATTGGTAAGACAAACAAACAATCATCATTATGTTGGAAAATTTGAATATTACCTGCATATGATATGTATCATCAGCATTTTTTACCACATAAATTTCAAATATCGGAGTCCCAGGAGATGCTGTGATCAACTGTCTGTAGCAAACAGAAATGATTAGTGCTCCCCAATTACCAGAGGACAAAATAGAAACTAGAAAGATCATACCTTGGACTGTAACTCTTGCCAACAAATCTACCCATACCAGGACTTACACGTATTATTCTACCAAAGGGGTCATCAGAATCTTTTGAGTAGCCTACCCACCAACCCACCTGCACATAATGGTCAAAATGGTTAGTTGACATCAACAGTCATTCAAAAAAAAATATCTAATGCTAATTGTACCATAATGAATGCTCAACCATCACTAGATTTATACTATTTAAAAGCTAACTTTCCAGATGAAGGCCATCTGTACTGTTGAAATTGCAGGGTTTAAGTAGATAAGATAGAAAAGAGAGAACGGAAACTGTCAATAGTAATATTGAATATATGATTGATGGGATACAGAACATTGGCCTAATGGCTATATTTATATTAATGATTAGGTTAAGTACAAGTGTACTAGTACAGGCCCATGCCCACAAATAAGAAGCCTAATATATTCTAGCATGTATCTTTCCAGTCAGACCTCAATAAAACACACTTTGGTACAGGAAAATGACTCCCATATCAGCTGCAGATAGCCCCTTAAAATATAGGCCCTCCCTGCTTGTCAACGTACCTTTTAGAAGTAGGCTTTCCTCTGCATCAAGTGGTTAATGGTTATCAAAACCCAGTTCGTCCCACCCCTTGGTGTGTATGGACTGCTCTTTCCAACCTGATGGCATTGATGCAAGAGCATTTGTCCCATATTAACTGGGTGTGAAACATGGAACAACCATTTTAAGTAAGGGCTCTCCCTTCTTATCAGCATGGCTTTTAGGAGTGGGCTCTCCTTTACTTTACACTTTTTTTCTCCAATCCAGTGCAGCATTTCTTTTAAAGCTTCCTAATCTCAAGGCACTATTGCTCAAGCTTTCCAATTATATCACCTTTCTCAAAATTTTATTGATTGGATGTTTCACGAGAATAATAAGTGGGAACTGGGAAGGGATAGCGTGGAAAGTTAAAATTTCAAAATAAGTAGTTTGTGGTTAAAATGAGAAGGGTTTCAAGCCGCCACAGTGCCACCTCCATCCCACCCACTCCATTCCTGACATTTTTCACAAGCACACTTGGCACGCCCACTCTTAACTCCTTCCGTTTCCCAGTTGTGAGTGACGAAAAATTGCTTGAGGTGCATTGTGCTATAGCAGTATCTATTGTGATTAAGCGAGTGAATGTTATTGGTGTGTAGTGTAACAGTGGACATTTTAATTGGTTTCTCCCGGGAATGTAGACAAGTTAGGCAAACCATGTTAAATTTTGCGTATTCATTTGTGTGATTATTTTTAATTCTTCTGAGATTTTGACAACAAATTATATTTGAACAAGAGAATAAAAAGAATCTAAAGAGTAGTAAGAATAAAAAAGAAAAAGAAAAAGAATTTTACCAACCCACTTCCAGTGTATCTACATAATCTTAAAGCATCATGGTAGCGTTCATCATCTATGGAATTCTGCAACATAAAGAAACGATTAAATTGTTGACCAAGCGATTAACTTAATTTAAATAAAAATTTTATGTGACCTTCAACTGAGACATAATTTCAGCAACAGTGTCATCGGAAGTTGCTTCCGCTACAGCTCTTTTCAACCTCGCCGCTTCTCGAAAGTCTTCGTTTTCAATTGCATCTTCAAGTTGAAACTGACAGCCAAAGAATTAAAACCATAAAGTAATATATAGTAAATACGAAGAGGGAAGAGAGATTGTGAGTGATACCTGAAGAAGAGATGCGAATCCCTCTGCCTGTTGAATATGAGAGAAATGGCGGGTCCAACGATTCCAATCCCAATCGAGGGAAGAGTGAGAACAACGGCAACAGATTTTGCGGTTGCGGTTCTTTCTGGTTTGGAAAAAAGAGATTGGGAATGGGTTTGGGTAGAGATCGAAACCACCGAGTTGGGGAAAAGAGAAAGAGATGCCTTGTGCCGCAACCATCATCTTCATCTTCTTTGTTGTACGCAAACTCCACTCTCTAATGGCTATTATCCATATGAATATGGTGCAATCTGCAACCCAATGCAATGAAACCAGAATAAACGAGGGATTTGGATTGAAGATCAATGCTATCCAGTATGATAACTTTTGGAGTTAAGTGGATGACACTGTACTTTTAGTGAGTGAGTCAGGTTTTTTTTTTTAATATGAAAAATTATTTTATTTTTCACTTTAGGCGTCAGCTATATATAACTGCTATATATGACTCGGAGATAGAAAAATAAAAGTAACTTTTTAGATTTATATAAAATCTTTCCTGACTTTGTGTAAATCAACTAAAAGAATATAAATTTATGTCCTTTTAAAAGATACTTCTTTTTCCTTAACTTTTGTTGTAATATATAAGGAAAAAGTGTTTATCCTTTTAAATGACACAAATTATATCATTTCACTCTCACAAAGAGGTGGGACTCACACTTTATTTTTTTTTGTCAACTCTCTCCTCCTTTATCTATCTCTTTCTCTCTCTTAAAATGACACAACTTTATATCCTTTAAAATGACACACATTTTTTCCAATATATAAAATGAAATTTAAATGACAATATTTTGTATTATTTTAAATAGCAAGACATTATTTTGGTGTATATTTAAAGGAAAAAAAGGTGTGTCATCTTAAATAACAAATCTTGTCTCCTTTCACTCTCACAAAGAGGTGGGATCCACACTTTTAAAACTCCCCACCCCTCACTATCTCTCCCGGATCTGAATCCTCTCATGTGAAAATTCACATGACCATATCATGTGGGGAATCATAATCATACAAAGGTGGATCAATGGTAATAAAGGAGGAGAGAAAAAAAATGTTAAAATAGGTAACTACGAAATCATAACCGTTGATTTAGCTTTGTATGGTTGTGATCTTCTCACATGACCATATCATGTTTTTTTTTCACATGAGAGAATTCATTTTCGTCTCTCCCAGAGTCTATCTCTTTCTATTACTTAAAATGACACAATTTTATGTCCTTTAAAATGATATAGATTTTTCCATATTTAAATCCTTATTTGATAGGGTATTTATGTTTAGGGATATATTTTTCTTATGTTGTAGGAAACGGATTATATTATGTTGTAGAGATAAAATATAAGTGGAACAGTAAGAGAAGAGAGAAAAAAAAGTGGTGGGACCTTTTGTGTGTGTAAGAAAATTACTTATCTTATGTAAAATGAGATAAACATAACTCTTATATTTATGCACTTGATGCAGAAAACAAGTCTCTGGCATAATAGAGACAAAATTCTAAATTCACTAATTTTAAAAAAAAAAAAAAATAACACCAACTGTTTATTACTCAAAAGATTTGACTTTGACAATGTTAACTTTAAAAATTGATTCATAACGTTAACAGATGACATGGCATATCTAACTTGGTCAATTAAGCTTAGTCAAAATTAATCTCAAAAAGGTATATAGATACTCTAAAATGGAATACCACGCATACACAGAAGTCCCAAAGCAATGTGTAAAACAAGAAAAACGATATCATTTCAGCTTTGTTGATTGAGTTTATCTTTCAACATTATAAGAAAATATTGAAAGTGTAAGAAAATTCGCATCTGTTGTGACAGCAAAGAAGCTCTTTGGTGTGTAGAAAATCAAGATGATCATGGTTGTTTTGTTTCCATCTGCAAGGACATTAGGAGCATTGCTAATAGCTTTATTCAAACCCTATGGAGTCAAGGGAAATGAATGAAGGTGCAGATACCTTAGCTAAGTTAGGTTTTAAACAGGAAGGGATTGAGATGGTGTTTTTTTCCTGTCCTCCTGATAGTATTTTACCTTTTTGGAACACCCTTTGTACTAAGTTTCTTGTGGATCATGCTTCTTTGAGCATGCAAAAGTTATTAATATAATCTTGCTGGGCTAGGCCCTCCATTTTATCAAAATAAAATAAAATATTGAAGTTAACGATGTTTAACTTAAATAGATAGAGGAATAAAAAACAATCAAAGATACAAACCTATATCTGGTCGTTTTCTATTGTTTTAAGTTTCAAATCCTATTTAATTGATAAATGAGAAAAAATTTAAATATTATTATTTAAATAAGAAATTGCAAAAACATAACAGTTTTAAATCAATTTATGCGTGCCCAAAATATGGTAGATTGGGCGTGTCCACTTTTGGGCTCATTATGGGCTGAGTCGCCCCCCATTTTGGGAGCAATTCACCCGTTAATAACACGTGGTACAAAATTTTCAATAGTTTTGTCATGAAACTTCAAAAAGCCATAACTTTTGATTCGGGTATTTAAATTAGGTATTTTTTTATTCTACTTAATTTTTCGAGATCTACGCGCTAACAATTTTTTGAAGGGGATTTGGTCAAAAACTATTTTCAAAAAAAAATTCTTGTGCCCCGTTTGACACATTTTATCTTTACGAATGTGAATGATGTTATTTAAGTTGAAGTTCTGTCTCCTACAAACATAGTTTGAATTTGCAATAATGGTGCCATAACCACAAGAGTGTTTAAACTCTGAGGCCCTCGAACCAATATCATAAGCTGCAGCACGTGCCATCAATTTTTTGGCCTAGTTTTCCCACTTCCCTATCTTCTTAATAGTATTACTTCCTTGTCTCTTCATCTCTTTCACAAGAACTTCATCGTCTGTGTCTATTACCCCGTTACAACGGTTCCACCAACTTTCATTAACCCGAGCCAACAATTTGGCACTCCTTTTTCGCCATTATTAGTCTCTGAACCAACAATTTTTTCAGTAACAAGATCAATACTCTAGCACTTTCCATATGAAAAAATGTTGTTGTACTTTCTTGCGTGTGTGTGTGGATGGAGAGGAAACCATTGTCATGTTTAGAAACATTCCTAGCAAATAAACATATGTTGTCCTTTTTTCTAGAAAAATTTGGGAGATAAAAGGCCTATTTGGATGGACTTTTGAAAAAAAGACTTTTTATGAGTTGTTTTTTTTAAAAGCCAAAATTATTTTTTGTTTGGAAGCAATATTTGAAAAGTGATTTTAAGTAAAAATGTCATTTAAATGTTAAAATAAAAAAGCATATTTTAAGTATAGAATTACTAAAATGTAAATATTGCATTCTCTAATTGCCAAATAATCCTCCAACGCCATAGGACATAGCTCCATTCGAAAGCAAAGAACAAGAGATACAATCACCACCCTCGACCTCTCTACCATCCCCATTTATTTGTACTTTTTCTCTTTTGAAATCATCATTGTTTTTATCCTTCTCCTTCCATTTGGGTTCAATTTAATTGCATAAACGGGTGCAGAGATTAAGATTTGGAATTCCGTGGAAGTGGCAGAATAAGCTAGCAAAGATTATGCCTCAGAGATTCTTCCGTCCCATCTTACAATTGATCCTCCCTCTCTCTTCCCCAAATGAAACCTCTTGTCCTGTTCGTAACTCTAATCCTTTCTTTGTACTTTTTTTCCCTTTTTTCGCATGCTTCACTCTTGAATGGGTTTCGTTTGGATGCTGGGAAAATGAGAGATATTTTGATGGGAGGAGATATTGGCAGTCTCAAATTCGGATTTGGCGGTTCCATAGTTTTTGGAACCATTCAATTCCTTTGTATTTGGAGTTGTGTGGGTTGTGTAAACTGCCTATGATGTAAAGTGAAAGTGCTCTGAACTTGAAGATAGAAACGAAGATGGAAACAAGGAGGGAAGGAACTAAGGGGTAAGATTTTGACTTTTTTACTAACTTTTGTTTTTTTTAAAGCTATCATCCAAACACCTAAAAAATTCTAAAAGCAGCTTTTGCAAAGGGAGAAGTATATCCAAATAGGCTCAAAATGTTTTTGTGATGGCACCATTGTTGCAAATTCAAAAAAAAAATTGAATTTTTTTTTACCAAATCCCCTTAAATGAGTCAAAATTTATAGTCTTTCAAAGTTTTACAGCAAAACTATTAAAAAATTTGTGTCGCATGTCATTACTGGATGAATCGCACCCAAAATGAGGGGCGATCCAGCCCCACCCAAAAATAGGTAAGACCCGTCCCGCCCCCTTTTAGATGCGACTTATTTCTATAAATCCATAAATTGATTCAAAACTGCTACATTTTCGTAATTTCTTATTGAAATTAATAATATTTACAATTTTTTTGCCAAATTCGACATCATACTTGGTATGTCTTTACCTGAATTTCATCCCTGCGTGATACACAGTTTTAAGGATGTCAATTTTGAAATATCAAGAACCACCCACAGCTAAAAATCTAAAATTCCTTCTATAGTCAGCATTAGTTAGAGCTTTTGGGATGGGAAGGTGGAAAAAAGAGCTATCCAATCCCTGACGCAAAATATGTCCCACGTCCCAAACTGATCACTGATTCAATGCAACAGTAAGTCAATATGCTCAATTATATACAAGAAAAACGACACAAAGTTATATAGCACCATGCCACACAAAAATGTATATAATTTCTATTGTGATGTACACAACCCAATGTCACCCCGCTCCCCAATAAAAGTGAACGAAAATCTTACCCCGAGTAAGAAGGTAAAAGGCAAATGCAAAATTCAACATAGAAATAGAATTTTAAACTCTCTTTACATTACTAAATATAAAAGACTATTACACATCTGTGGCTCTAATCTATGTTAAGCAAAAAGGTAATATTCATTTTCCAAGTCCTACTACTCCGAGATGTCTCCGAAAAGAAACTGACCCATTTCTTTATGGATCAATCATGATAATTTCTTGTTAGAATGTGGACCATTTATACACACGCCAGATATGGATATGCGTCCTTCGCCTTCTCCAGAATGGGTTAGAAATATAACAGCAGTTCAGAAACTATATAGTCTAACTTTGTGCAGAGGAAACACTGACAGGCATGCATTCCACAGAAGAGACCTGGTCTCCAGTTGATGCATTTCGAATCACAATAGGTACAACACCGTTCTCAGCATTTTCCAAAGCATTATCCGTGTCACCAACTGGCCCTGCAATTCCAGCACGCACTGGGCGGAGAAGACCTTGTAATCTTAACCGATAACTTTGACTAGATGGTTGGCCTCTCACGTATCTGGTTGTTGTCACAACACTAGCAGAAGATCGTTCGGAATCAGCACGGAGATTGGACAGAGCACTAAGATCAAGATTTGGAAATACTGAGCAACGGCACCGAGGACATTTCACATTCAGCCTAAGCCACTCATCAATGCATTCAACATGAAAATTGTGAGCGCAAGGTAGGCCACGGACCTGCATGACAGTAAGTTAGAAACTTATTTTCAATTGCTCTTTATGATACACAATTGCATTTTCAACTTTCTTAAAAGTGCAGGGCTCCAACAAATCACGAGGTCAAACAAAAAGCATGTTTTCCAGCAATAGATAGCAAACAGCACACGGTATGACCTGTTTTGGACCCTTAATTAGGAAAGAGTATACCTCATTCCCTACATAGAACTCTTCTAAGCAGATGGGGCATTCACTGCAATCAGTTGGAACAGCCTTTAACCTGAACTTTGGGAGTTCCTGAATTAAAGCTTCAACTGCTTCTCTCTGCGTCCAACCCAGACAAGAAACCCAACTATCAGCAGTGAAACTGAACAATAAATGTACAAAAGGAATTTCGATAAGAGAGATAAATATATGACATAATAATAATAAACACGTTGTACAAAAACACTGAAGAGAATGGTATAACTAATTCATGAGAAAATTCAAGCAATATATTCATTAACTGATGTATGTAACAATAAAGTTCACTCTGCTTGACAAAGAATAACATATCTGCTGCTTTACATGAGTTCTAATATGAAAACAAGTCTAGAAACATCAGCTAAAACCACCTGAGCTGGAGTTAGGTAAAGTCCTGGATGATATGCAGCAGCATCTTGGCCCATGCCCCTTGCTTCTTGACCAGCAGCTTCAAATGCCCAATCAGGCACTCGGATCATATCAACCAGAATCTAACAAAATGAAAATAGCAACTGTTATCATCTAATATTTGTCAAGTATAGAAAATCAAACAGAAATGAATATACATTTAGATTGCTAACAACATGATTACCCCTACATACTTCAATCAACCCCATACATGCAAATCTTTGAAATGAAGAGACAGCATTAGATTAATCATATTGCCTCCAGAAAGAACCCAGCAGTACGAGCTCGATAACATTACTTTCTTTGTAACTTTCTGGGAATCCCACAAAAGTGGGAGATGATATTCATTCTATTCAAGATACCGGTGGATGCAACTTTTTTTTTGGTAGGAGAAAAGAGGACAAAAACGTATGCAATTTTTTAACCACATACAAGGGACTGTGTTTCAGTAACAGTGTGCATCAGAACATTTTTATACAAGGACAACCAACAGAACAGCCAACCATAAAGCTGACACTGAAAGAAAAGAGCATTCATTATGTAATCTCAAAAATTCACATAAAACAAAATAATCTATTATGTTATTAAGCAGTCTCCAACAGGACAGTTTGCTGAGTACATAATTGGGAGATTAGTTTGATTTCATAAAATGAAAACTTTGAAATGGTTCATTATTAGAGTATATTAAATACTCGTGTACTACATTGGCTGAAGTTTGCCTATATTAGATAGTGCAGTACTAATGTACTGCAACCCCTAGAGTAGGTTGGGTATACTCATGTAACTTTCTGTTAGGCCTACGTGGCATTCAATTACATTTAGTTGTAACAAACAACTGATTATTCAGTTAGCTAATAAGGTCTGGTGCAGCTTGCTCTGCAAGATTGTTGTATCTCTATAAATACTAGTTCTGTTGTTCAGAACAGTAAATCAATAAATATCAAGAAATCTTAAGCCACAATTTCTTTCCCTTTCTTTCTCTTTCTCCCAGTTTCTATCCTTTTCTTTTATTCATAAAATCAAAAAAAGACTAAAATGAAAATAAAGCAACAGACTCAAACTGTCATATGCCTATAGTACAGTATCAGAAAGGATTGCACCAGCTGATGAGCTAGCTTCAATACCATGCCAGATTACAAGTTATCCCAAATTTTGACAAATAATTGTCTGCACTATGACTTCAAGATAAAACTTAGGGCTCGTTTGGTGGACAGAATAGCATAGGTATGATAGGATAAGCTATCATATCCTGCTCTTATCCATTATTTGGTGAATCAAGAGGATATAATAAGCTTATCCTGTTAGGAGGAGTGTTAGCTCATTCTTCTAAAATTAAACCCCCGTCTCCTTAAGCTTCCCTAAGAACACAATAATCTGCCTTGCCACCGTTGCCACCAGCCACAACCATTGCCACTGGCTAGCCACCACCGTCACCACCACAACTCAATGCATGCTTGAAAAAAAATCATTAATTTTAACCAAACAACAAATCTCTAATTTTATCCAAATACTGTTACACACATAAAAATTGACAATCAATTGAAAACATTTTAAAAATTTAATTGCTAAAGATATAATTTTTTTATTTTGGAAAATTTTATAAGCTATTTTATATATTTTATTAAAATTACAACTTTTATATTTTTAAGAACAAAAATTTAAAAATTAATTTGAAAAAAATTATATGACATCATGTTATAAAGGATATTTTTGTCTATTTATATCATATCCCCACACTATCTAGTTCCCTTCAAACACAAGATAGGATAACATAATCATATCAAACTGCTTATCTAGTGTGCATCAAACCTAGGATAGGATATGAGCTTATTAAGCCCTTATCCTATCCATCCTTATCCTATCATGTTCATCAAACGAGCCCTAAATATATTGCACCTTACTCCATTTCCTCGCAGAAGGGAAAAAATAGGGGGAGGGGGGGGGGGAATTCATGTCATTCACAAAAACGTTTAGAAATACTCCTATTTGATGCCAAACAGCAGTGTCATGCTGTCAAAAGATGGAGCTTCCACGACAATAAAACTAACATGGTAACATATGTATCAGTAAAGGTAACGCTTACCCCATATTCAGATACAGGGATGCCCTGTTGGGCACGCAATAAGTGTGCTTGTCTTCGCGTCAACCACTGTAAAAAGTTAAACAAACCAAAATGAGTACAGCACCAATCTAGAAAAGAAACAATGAAGAAGAATGTTATTCTGTAGATATTCGAAGATGATAGGTTGTTCAGAAACAAAAACACCATGACAAGCAGAACAAAAACATGGAAACAAGTCATTGAAACATCTAATGAGTAAAAATAGAGAATCACCGACCTTCAACAGTTGCAAGCAGAACAAAAAAGAGATTTTGCAAAAGCAAGTCAAAGAAACATATAATGAGTAACAGTAGAGCACTACTAACCTTCCCCAGTGACATGCAAGCAATGCAAAGGAGTCCACAGTAGCTAAAAATTAACCAGATGAGGAAGCCCCACTTCTGACCATTTTCAGGCAGCTGCAGGTAATTATTTGCATTATGCAACATAAGCTTGTTTACAAGAGTAACACTGAAGATTAAACAAAATCAAAACATACACAGTTCTTGGCACTGCTGAACCACAGGGTACCAGTTATAGTCCAAGCCCAAAGAAATGGATAGAGAAGCAACACAAGGATTGAAAGGACTACTACTCTTCCACAGAAACGAGCATATCTCTGCTGCCGCCCAAAATCTCTAGAAGCATAGAAAAGGAAGGGAGAGGAGGGATAAAGGTGAGATTGAATTAGTACTGGGATTTGATGAATTAAAACATTATTTGACTTCATTTATTTGATGCAACACAAAAATTCAGAACCACTTTAGTTGAGTTTAATGTTATGAATCAAAGTAATAGAATAATGTACTTGGGTCAACATATGGAGCAGTACTTCAGTACTGCAGACCTATAGTGACTAGGCTAATCCCTAAATTCTGTTATACCTACGTGGCATTCAGTTGTAATTTCTGTTGTAGTTTACAACTGAATCTTAGATCAGTTAGTCTCGGTTTCAGCTTGTAACACAAGCTTCTGGTACATCTATATATTGTAGGTTTTTCTCTTAGAACTGCAACCAATGTTGTAATCATTGTTCTCAATAATGTTTCAATACAGTTTCTTTCATTTTCTCTTGTTTTCCCTTATTTTCTCACCCCTTCCTATACAAAGAAATCAGCCATGAAAGCAAAATGACTATATATGATTTTTCACCTAAATGCTCAAGAGAAACTAAGTGAGAATTTCACATATGAAAAAAAGTAAAAAAAAATAAAAAACTCATAAAACCACCGGCCATATTAACCATAGTACATTCATACATTCCATAAACTTTTATGTCCTTCTCTTCCATAGTGCTATTTTAACTTTTAACCTTGAGCTATGTCACCCATTCCAGGTACAGCTGCACTGTGTAACTCAGGCAAATGACTAGCCTGCCGCAGCAAATTTCTGTCATGTTCGGATTAGTGTTATCCGTACTATGCTAACACAAGCACATTAGTTTCATGTAGATTGATGCCATCAACAATATCAACATGCTCTGTGATCATCATGTATAAAGGAATCTTAGTTACAAAACGCAGGTTAAGAATAGAAGGCCTTACAAACCCATTCCCGCAGCAAGCCCATTATCAACAAACATCAAGAGCCGGAAAACAAACACAGAAGTGTAGTCAACCTGAACACCAGTGAAAGAAAATAATAAAAGGGATAATTTGCGGGACAACCTTATCTTATGAAGAAAATAAACATACATAGCGATTTCAAAAGGAATAAAATAATACAAGGAAAGGAACCCACCATGATCCATATGTGCAACGGGTAAGTACAAGTACGATACCGCTTCCAATTAATTGCGACAATAACTCTACAAGTCAAATGGTTAAGGAATACATGAACACACATTTCATATAATCTGATGACTTATGTGCTGAAGTGCGTACATTGGGTAGCAGAAATTTCGTTTTATTTTTATTTTTTTAATTCTTAATATTTCTCAAAACATTGATTCCGAGAAAATGCAGAATGATACCAAATTTAGAAAAACCCAGAAGCTGAGTTGTTAAAGGATACACGCTAGTGGCGAGCATGGACAAGAAAAACCCATCGTACCTGCAAGGAGCGAGTTACATTCAATCAAAATTGGATAATACAAAAGGCGATCTTGCAATCAGACCCATGAATATACAATAGATATAGAGAGGAGAGAGAGAGAGAGAACTAACCATTTGAAATCAACGCCTCTGATAGCCATGGAATTTGATTAAGCGAAACCCTAAAATAAAGAAGCGGCGTCGTATTGAAGGATGGTCCCTTGAGCAGTGGTAAATGCATGAATCGGAGAGAGAGAGAATGAGGGAAATCTGAATCGGAGTGAGATGTTTCGTAAAAAAATGGAGTTAAGGAATAGGAACAGCCAAAAAAAAAGGGGGGGGGGGGGGGGGGAAAGCGCAAAATGACTCAGAGGATTAGGATTAGAAAAAAAGAAGAACCCAGTAACACGAGTGTGTGTGTGTGTGTGTCAGGTGCGAGAAGATGAACTAACAAAACACAAAAACAAGCACCGCACCGCCAATAACATTGACTTCATTTCTATTTTAATGGTTTGTTTGGTTTGCGTTAAAACTCAAAAAGTGTCACTAACTTTGGTTTTACTTTGTACGACTGTGGCTATAACTTCTTCCTTTTTCTTTTCGTTTCTTTTTTTTCTTTTTCTTCTTTTTCTTCTTTTGTTTTGGTTTTCAATTTTGAGGCGAAACATCAACATGTCAATTCCATTTGCCGTAACATATCCTTCATTTTTAGAGAAATACTTCATTTGTACATCGAATTTTACTTAAATGACTTTGTTTTTGTTTTAATTTGCTTTCTCTTATCGTATACTAAAGTTTAGACCTTTATTTACAAAAAGAAAAACAACCGACTAATACTCGTTCATGAAGCACTGCATTTAGGGCATATTTGGTATATAGTATAGGATAAGACCTGATAATATAAGATCTCATAGTATAAGATATGATTGTATAAGACTTGATTAAATTTTAATACTATCTAACGTTTGGCATGATATTGAATAAGATAATATCATCCAATGTTTGATAGATAGGTTAAAAAATTTTTTTGTCAAAAATACCTTTTAATAATGAATTTACATAATTCTTTCAAATATATCAGATGATATTATTTTTTATAGAAATATGTAGATCATGTCCAAAAAATATATTAATTTTTATAAAAATAAAAATCTCCAATATTTTAAAAAATTATATATTGAAAAATTATTTTTTATTTTAATATACCAATATTAAAAATATATTAATTCTTGAGAATTGCATTGGTTAATACATCAACCCCTTATCAGGCCTAATCTTATCATCCTAGGCCTGATTAAGTTATACATCATTATGATGTATAAAGGGATCCTGTCGTATAAGCTTATACGTACAATGGTCACACCAAACAACTAAGAATATCATAACGTATAATATAAGCTTATACTATCAGGCCTTATACATCACACCAAACACACCTTAGAGAAAAATTTAATAAGCTGTATCCAATATTGATAATATTAGAGATTATTTTTACAGAAAACAATTAGAGTGAAAATGTTGATGTAATATTAATGTCATTTTACTTGAATTTATAAATGAATTTAATAATATAAAGGGTTAATAAAAAATAGTATTTAATTTATACATTTGAACCATATCTAATAAATATTATTATTGATAAAATATGTAACAATTTCAGTAAATATTTTTTGCATTATTAATTAAATTTAATTATTTTACTTATGTGATGAATGATTGTTTTTGGATTTGATCAAAACCAGTTTTACCTAGGCTGGTCGTAATTGATAATCTTCTTCTACAAGTGTTTTTGATGTAGTCTAAATCCACGAGTTTTCATTGAAACAATGTGAGAGATATAGTTTGTCAGACACTCCGACGTTCAAGTCAAATTTTATATAAACAATTTTATTTATATAAAAGAAGATGTACAGTTTATATTTAGTACATTTGTATTTATAATGTGGTGGCAAGCTTTGGAGGATACCCGTGATTGCTTCCTGCAAGTGGTGAAGTAATAAAGTCTTTTAATTGATTGTTGTGTAGGTGATTTGAGATAAGTTTTACATAGGGATTATAGAAATTACTGGGCAATCTTTGTTGACTCGAGGAACCTTTTAGAAGATGTCTTTTTTCATAGTGAAAGACTTATAAGTGGACTTTTAATATATCATTTCATGTCAGTATTTGAGTATGAGTTTAATTAATTATTGGGAAAAGTTAAACAAAAATTACGTTATTTCCTCCAAAATCATTTAACCCCTATTATTTTCTTTTATTTCATCTAAATTCATCTTTAATATCATTAGAAATTGATTTTTTTTTCCTAAAAATTTTGTCCCTGTTAGACAAACCACTTTGGGTGCCTATAACATGATTAATTATGATAGATTTTTTTTATATGTTAAAAAGATTAAATGAACCTACCAGGATGAAGTAAAGCAAAAGATTCTAATATGAATTTTGATACGCAGCAATAACATTTGGAAGAAAAGAACAAAAAAATCCACGACGGATTCATGGTACAAAAATACACTCATTATTTGTGAAAGATTCATAACAGAAAAATTCAAGACGGAATGAAAAAAATTCAAATTGATTGCTACACCCATGGGAAACTCGTCGAAAGTGATGCTAAAGTTGATAGATGTGGGAGATCTCTCATTACATATATTGTGGTTAGTTTTACAAGTGGGTGATTTTTTAAAAGTTATTTTCTGATTTAAATATATTAGATAACAGTGAGTTGATTTTGTCTCCTTAGTTGGTCATTCAAGTTCTGACAACACCTCCTCCCTATTTTCCGAAAGAAATACTAATTTGATTGTGCATTTTTGTGCCCTTATTTTTCCCTTTCTTTAGCACCTTTCTGAATATGTCTCACATTGAGTTTGCATCTCATAATTCCTAGAGCAACTGAATGAGATTCTTCATTTGCTTTGTGGTGGAGAACTTATATAAATAGAACCAAAATAAGTCTTCTCATTTTTTATTTTATTTTTTTGCACCACTAGAAATTATGCTACACTTTGCAGGTCTATGTTACATGTTGTAATGAGTAATGACAGACAAATAGATCCTTATTTTCTTATTTGAGTTTGAAAAGACAAAAGAGCATTTAAACCTAATATTGTATTGTTTGTCATAATGATGAAGTCCTTGCTTCCTTTCATTTTAGTGTGCTCATTCAGCTTTTGAGGGTTGGTGCTAGTGGATCCTATTATGATTTTAACTCTTTTCTTTACATTGAAACATTTATAAGGAACCTCATTAGTGACCTGAACTTTTTATATAGAATTTCATCAAATTTCCAAGTTTGAATTTCCTTTTTGGTAACACCATTCACATCAGCATGTCATTGAACAACACCTATGGATCGCCAATAAGTGAATATATTATGTGTACTCTAGTACTAATGATAGCTACAAATTGTAGCACAATCTTAGAGAAATGGAGATTTCATTTTTGGGGCCCGACTCAGATATTGTTGACAGTTGTCACTGCTCCTTCGATGGCTTCCATGGAGCATCTCCAATAGCTCAATATAATTGGGTTCAGATTGCAAAAATGTAAAGTTAGATTTGAGAGAAGTGCTCATTCAATGTACATAGAAAGCATCTCCGATGTGGTATCTTTAACAGGTCCAAAATGGACAGAAAAACCCAATTCCTAATGGTGTTAAAAGGAATCTTGGATAATTAATTCATAATACACGACAAGGGTAGCCAAATCATCTCTCACAAAACTCAAATTGATTATCAGACTAGTACTTACATGTATAAACTCACATTCATCTAATTATCTTAAGTTTTTATCAGTATAATTAAGAAGATATTATCAAACAGAAGATGCAGACAACTTGAACTACTCATCAATATCCACTTTCCTGCTATAACTCAAACCAAAGAAAATAGTTAGTTACAATTTGGTGGGTTCAAACATTTATATAGAGCAGATGCAGGCTGCTTGTAAGTGGGAATGTCATTGGTATCAACAAAACGAACTTCACCTGGTTCGAAAGACAGATCCCTGTGCCTGAAATTTAAGAGACAAGGAAGCAAAGTAACAAAAAAGTGATGTAAAACCAAGTAACCAAAATCAAAACCTTAATTTCCAAATTGAAAGACTATGCAGTTACTTTCGCAGGTCGAGTCCTATCAAACCAGCCTGAAGGATTGTCAAGTTGTCAGAATCTGGCGAGACAATAACAACTGTGTCACCAGAGTACTGAGTTTCAAGAATTGACATGAGTTGTGTTACACGAACAAAAACATCTGCAACACTCTCATTTGGAGTTCCGTCATCAAAGGGAGGAGGTTTAATGTTCGGAGATATCCCATCTGATGCATATACCTGGATCATTTGAAACATTCCCCACGCTTAGATACATTCTTAACATCATTATGCAAATCCCCCTTAGTTAGGAACAACGGTGAACAACGTAAGTAGTGACAAAAAGATAGGACTTTAGTTCAAATGTTTTTATAAAGAACCAATCGAACCCAAGACCTTAAAACTATGGGTGAGGCTACATTAATGATTTTATATTTCTTTAACATACTCCCTCCCGCAAGAGCCATTTGGATTTTTTAAAGCGTGGATATCGTACATTTTTTTGGTTTACTTTGTACTTACTTAATTCTACCACAAAGTGGAGGCAATCAGTATCGAACTCCTGACCATTTGGTCACTCTAACTCTAATACCATACAAAAAACTAATTCAACTCAAAATCTTAAGACTATATTAATGATTTCATATCTCTAGCAGTTTTTTTACTATAATCATTTGATAATATATTATCACATCTGTGTTCGTGTGTCAACAAATAAGTGGACTCTAGTGTAATAGAGTAATGAACTTATATCACATCAAAATTAAACTATAAACAAAAAATAAATGCAATTCTGCTATGCTATAAAATATAGCGTAAGTCTTAAAGAAAACAGCACAAGGTGAAATCCTACTTGTGAAACAGATTCCAAATTTTTTCCTTCGTAAGCACCTAATCCACGGGCATCCAAAAAGCTATATTCTGGGACTATATAACTGAAATAAAAGAAATTAACAAGTATGGAAATAATTACTGTGCTAATTGGTCTTGATAATCAAAATCATATGTTGTAAGTTGAAAAGACAAAAAGCAAACCTTCGAGTAACTCCATTAACAGAAGCAATAATCTCAGCAGTTTGGTAAGCTCTCTGAGTAATAGCAGGCCATATCCAACAGCTGTTATCACAAGCACCCATTTCTTTTAAATCAAAAGCTGCTCTTAGAGACTGCTTCTTCCCTCTTTCAGATAAACCGCTATCCATAGAAGTCTTTGCCACTGGGTTAGTGTTGATCACTCCCATGCTCTCGAACTCTGACTCACCAGCTCTCACCAAAAAGTACCTTCCCACACGCACCACCAACACCAACAATAGTTAACAACAAGGCTTCATCAAACTAAGCTATATATTATTTATAACTCTCTTACACCACCACAAGTGGTCACAACCCGTTCGAGAATGGCAGAGTTTACGGGATTACCGGTTGGTCAGGCGAGGTGGGGGCATCTGGAAGAGGCCGCTAGCACCGGCTACCGGCTCTGATATGGGCACTGAGGTCGTAAAATGGACATTGAAATTGAAGGAGATGGTGAGTGCCGTGGTACTGAGGATGTTGCGGCGACAGAGTAGGTTGTTGACGTGCTTCGGAGGAAGAGACGACGATGGTTGTGGTTGTGGTTGTGGCAGAGAAAGAAAAAGGGTTTCAGTCGTGCAATTTGGTGCCAACATTTTCTTACTGTATGCGTTTTAATGGCGGATGTTTGCAACCTTATCAATATCAGCATATCAGCAACATCCTGCAAACGACTAAACATGAAGTGCGTTTTGGTCCAAAAAAAAAAACACACACACACAAAGATACTAAATGTACTATAATCGTTCATCCGATACTTTAAAACTTTTTTTTTCTCTTGATAAATTAAAACAATGAGAAAAGTGTTTATCTTTTTAAATGACAGAACTTATATCTTTTCACTCTTACAAAGAGGTGAGACTCACACCTTCATTTTTTTTTTGTCAACTCTCTCTCCTCCTTTATCTATCTCTTTCTCTCTCTTAAAATGACACAACTTTACATTCTTTAAAATGACACACATTTTTCCCTAAAATAATTTAATAAACGACAGTGGAGCCTAAGTTTTAATAAACGGTTTTTCTCCGCTGCGGTTAGGCTCAAGTTCCCCTGGGTTTGACAGCTATTTCTTTTCTTAAGTTAAAAATTATTTTTAAAATAAAGTTAAAAAATAAAGTTGTTGTTTGACGATTGAATTGTCCGATGATCAAGAAAATCGGGTAAATATTGATCTAGGGTGCTCTTAATGATAATGGTATAAATCAAGGCTTTTACGGAGCTTTCCAAGTGTTGTGCAACAATGGTGGGGGACGGTGTTTAGTGGCTATGGTGACTCTCCAAATGAATAGAGTAACAACTTAGAAGTAATAGTATGTGTATATTTGTGGATGAGATGGGATATTTATAGGTTGGGTTTGACCTTCTTTGTGGAAGGTTGAGGTAAGGGAGGATGGGACAGGTGAGCCATCATAACGAGAAATATTTTTGTGGTCATGCCCTCATGTGCTTCTTCCATTGAGAGATTGACACTTGTATAAAAAAAATTCTCTTTTCTCTATCCTCTCACTTGATTAGTTGTCACATTTTTATTGGTTTGGACCACTTAAAATTTGATGCTCCTGGAGTACCAAAACTCTTCTCCATCATAACCTAGTCTTGCTTGGGCAAGACGTATAGCAGTCATTGTTAGTGTACAATGGCCGCTTATGCATAGAGGTGAGGGATAGTGTTCTCTGAAGGCATTACCTACCTCCCTTGGGGGTGCCTTCAGCGGGCTCTTATGTTTTCCACTTGAGATTATCTTCCATCCATCTTCTTATGTCACTGTTAAAGAAAAAAAAATCTAAAACATTACCATTGAGCTAAGTTTTCCACACTTGTTTGGTCCGCGGGCAATCTTGAAAAATGTGGAAACAATTTTCCATAAGATCCTGACATCTATGACAAAAAGCAAAATCACTCATATGTCTTCTAATTCTTTCAGTATTTGTGAGTAAGTTTTCACCAAAAAGAAGCCAAAGAAAAGTCTTAACTCTTTGGGGACCTTCCCATTTCCAGATCACAGACCAACTATTATTAGCATTATCAACAGGGGAATGGGACAAAATGTTGTAAGTATTATCCAAGTGGCTACCAAGAATGTAAGTGAGAAGCTGGAAATAACCCTAGAGGGGGTGAATAGGGTTATCTAGTTTTTCTGCAATTTTACGATTACAAAAAAACAACTACACCAAGTGCCAACTTGGTTTGCTTACACCGGTTTATAACTTTGATTAAAACAAAAAAAATAACAATACTATTCAGAATTAATCAAGTATAGTGGCAGTATGTAAACACTTGACTTTCATAAATTTCTCAAAAAAAACAAGCAGGTTAGTATTTTTCAAACGATTTGATTAGATTTCACCTGGGAGCTTGAAGCGATCAAACATATGACAATGATTGATTCAGATTTATTTTCAAAAGAAATATCCTTCCTTGTCTGAATCAACCTGCCTCAAAACAAATCTTTAAGAAAAAGAAAACAGATCGTCACTTGATTTGCCCGCTTCGCGTGAATCCTGATCTTGATGCCATCACTATGTCGCAAGGTTGATCGCTTTCAAACTTCTCCTATTTCTCTTGATTCAGAGAAAGATTCATGTGGATCTCGAGATGAATCACTTGAACGCTCTCATGAATTTTTACTCTCTCTCTTGCTCATAATCTTCTTCTTGCTCAGAGTGTTTCTTTTCTCTCAATCGCTTCTTTAGGGTTCTCGCTCTTTCTTTTTCTTTTTTTCTTTTTTGATTTATTTTAGTTATAAAGCCCCTGATATTAAAAGAATGATCATGACCGTTTAAACAAAAAAATAATGAAGGGCTGTGATAAACTGTAAAAGATAATTCACAGGTAAAAGATATAAGGGTAATAAAGACAAAAAAAAAGTTATCAAGTTAGCACCCAAAATTCAGCATTTTACCAAAAAAAAAAAATAATTCAACTTTTCTTTTCTCATTGTTATTATTACTTTTAAATTTCACACTATGTTATGTATGAAATGCAGTCCTAGGCATGCTTTTGATATAAATTTTATTGACTAAAATTCATAAGGCTCCAAAAAAAAATATCTCTACCTTCGAAACTTGCTTTGAGTATTTCTTGCTGCAGTTTACTTGTCATCCTGTGATTTAACATAAAGATCTAGAAGTGGAGGACTATTTCAAATTCAATTTTCATCATCAAAATATAATGTTTTTCATTCTCCCCATTTTTGATGATGACAACTAATTTGAGATAGGAGTTAGTACTATAAAAAAATATGAGCTACTCCCCCTAAATCTATGCATTTTTCTTCTCCCCCTTTGTCATACATCAAAAAACAGGGCTAAACATAGCAGAATTTTAATATCATACAGCTAACAAAAGACTACATAATGGCAGATCATGACAAGTTATTACATGCACATGTGAATGTCATGCAATGGGATCATACAAGCCTAGTTCCATTCTAAGTTTGACAAAATTATCTCTAGGCAAAGGTTTAGTGAAGATGTCAGCTAATTGCTTGGTAGTTTCAATGAATTCAATGCTAACATCACCATTATTAACATGATCACAAATAAAATGGTGCCTAATGTCTATGTGTTTAGTCCTTGAGTGCATTATAGGATTTTTGGTTAGATTTATAGCACTTGTGTTATCCCACAAGATTGGGACTTTCTCTAAATTTAACCCATAGTCTAGCAACTGTTGCTTCATCCAAAGGATTTGTGCAACACATGAGGCAGCAGCCACATACTCTGCCTCAGCAGTTGAGAGTGCAACACTCACCTGCTTCTTGCTAAACCAGGAAACTAGAGAGTTCCCAAACAAGTGACAAGTTCCACTTGTGCTTTTTCTATCTAATTTGCATCCTGCAAAATCAGAATCAGAGTAGCCAACCAAACTTGGTGGTAATCCTTTGGGATACCACAATCCCATATTGCAAGTGCCTACCAAATACCTTAGAATCCTTTTGACAGCAGTCAAGTGAGATTCCTTGGGATTTGATTGATACCGAGCACACAAACAAACACTAAACATTATATCAGGCATAGAAGCTGTGAGATATAGTAAAGACCCTATCATACCACGATATAATGTTACCTCAACAGCTTTACCATTCTCATCTTTGTGCAAGGACATACTTGAGCTCATTGGAGTGTCTATGGGTTTTGCTTTTTCCATCCCAAACATTTTAAGGAGTGATTTGCAATACTTCACTTGGCTAATGAAAATTCCATTTTCTTTTTGTTTAATTTGCAGTCCAAGGAAGAAATTAAGCTCTCCGATCATTGACATCTCGAACTCATTCTGCATAATACTAGAAAATTCTTCACAAAGACTTATGTTAGTCGATCCAAAAATAATATCATCCACATATATTTGGACTAACAAAGTATGATCATGCTTGGTTTTTATAAACAGTGTAGTGTCAACTTTACCCCTTTTAAAATCATTTGACAAAACAAATTTACTAAGTCTATCATACCATGCTCTAGGGGCCTGTTTTAATCCATATAGAGCCTTTTTAAGCTTATAAACATGGTTAGGATAGGTATGGTTCTCAAAGCCAGGGGGCTGACCTACATACACTTCTTCTTGTATGAAACCATTTAGAAATGCGTTTTTCACATCCATTTGAAATAATTTGAAATTATGTATGCGTGCGTATGCTAGCAAAAGCCTAATTGCTTCAAGGCATGCAACAAGAGTGAAGGTCTCATCATAATCGATGCCTTCCTCTTGATTGTACCCTTTTGCAACCAGCCTTGCCTTATTTCTGACTATAATATCATTCTCATCAAGTTTATTGCGAAAGACCCATTTAGTGCCAATAATTTGATGGCTGTTGGGTTTGGGAACTAATTCTCACACATTGTTCCTTTCAAATTGGCTTAGCTCTTCATGCATAGCCATTACCCAATGCTCATCAATTATTGCCTCCTCAATGTTCTTAGGCTCAACTTGAGACACAAAAACTGAATGAATACACATATTTTTAAAATAACTTCTAGTAGTTACTCCCTGTGTAATATCACCTATCACATTCTCAATGGGATGATCTTTTCTGACTTGGGGTTTTGTGCTTTGTATGGTTGAGGGGAGATCATTTCCTTCCTGGTCATTACATCCGAGTTGTTCTTTCTCTTTACTTTCTGCATTTTCATCATCAAAATATAATGTTTTTTAGTAAGCTGCGCTAATTGGAAAAGTATTTAAAGGTAAATGATTTCACATAACTTTGTCATTACCATTTAGGCTAGATAGAGGACACACACTGGCGATAACTCTGACATCTTATCGAGACAACATTTAATCAAACATGTTCCAATGCCAAGTTCCTGCTTGGATAACACAATCTAAGACCTTCCAATTGATAGCTTCATCGGGTATAGAACCGGTGACTCTATCAATTAGTCTACCAATCTTTGGCACCCAGCTATCCAACCAAAAAGCAGTATTGATTCCATTACCAATGAAGACTCTAGAGTCAGATTGGACTCGTTTTCACTTGGCTCAGAAACAATGTAAAAAACTAATTCAACTCAAAAGCTTAAGCTGTTAGATATAGCCTCTTTAATGATTTATATTATACTCTAACAATGTACACGTTTGAATTTTAGGTTACTCTTGCAAACTAACTCATGTAATATATATACCTAGTGATTAGGGGCGTAAGTGTCTGTTTGGATCCTCTTATTTTTAGCTTCTCTTCTCCTTATAAGTAGAAATTAGGTCA